CTGGACATGGAAACTTTAACAAACACCTATATAACATGGGTTATTCTGACAGTCCTCTGAGCAGGGCGTGCATGGAGACTGAGGAGATTGTCTCCTCAGTCTCCATTCCAGTATCACATAAGTGCTTGTGCACTCATGTGATACTGGAATGCAGGAGCCTATTAAGACAAAAGGACTACATATCTATGAAGCCCAAGGATACTAGTGGAAGCATGCGGCAGAGTTCGAGATCTTACGGGCTTCCTGGAGGAGCTGGGGTGGCAGGACTAAAGCAACCCCGTGTCATGCAAAATAGGCACTGAGTATCGAGTTTTAGAAAAGCCCGTCGTGAAACATAACATAACAACACAGGACGTAAAAATGTGTAGCGTGTCGGGAGGAGGTAGCGGCTACTACAAAGTGTTTGCCCACAGAAAAATGCCGATTTCTATTCTATCACATAAAATCTTTTTTGCGCCGATTCACTAAATTACATTCGTGAGTTCGTGACATATACATAATATTTAAGCAAAATGGTAGTCTGTCTATAAAGTCATGAAAAAAATTGAGGGCGCTGCGATCGTGTACGTAGCAACCCTGTGTAGTGAGACAAATGATTTTGATAGTAGGATTTTTTTATTTTACTTTTATTACCCCAGAAAAGGTAAAGAAAGGCGTATAATTCGTAGACAATGAGTTTATTCAACATTGAAGATTACAATATAGTAATCGTAATTTTTGATAAATCTTTTTTTTTATAATTGCCAAGTTGTTTTCTCGTTTTACTGAAATGCGTGCTTGTGTTCGATTAAAGCCTGTTACTTTGACACTTTTTGTAAGAAAACCCAATATATTTCAGAATTTAACACAGAACTTCTAGGCTACAATTAAAATTCAGATCGGTTTTGGCAATCCACTGATGTTTTCTTCATGAAGGTACCTCTTTTTTTCACGAAGTAAAAGAACTGAATATTTTGTCGAAGTGCACAAATGTTGCAGTTAACCATTTATTTCTTAGGACGACCATCTATGTTTCCCAGGGGTTTCAATATGCCACCATTTTTATAACCTTCATCTACAATACGTATCACTATATTCTCTGATTTTCCTGAAAGTAAGTTTTAAAAATGTAATACCTATAGGTATTTGGCAAAAAGAATGGAATCGCCACAATGATCAAATTAATGCTATAATTTTAGTAATATAAAGCACAAACTTTTTATTGGCGTACGTAGGTAAAAATCCTAGATTCCTAACAGGTATATTTTTTATTCAGATTAAAATCAATGATAAATTTGATTATCCAAAAGTATTAAAAGTTCGGGCCGCACTACAAAATAGCCTTCTAACATTTTCAATCTAACCTATAAATGCATAATGTTTATAACGGCGGGTAGTCCGAAGGGGCTATTACGAAGTCCAAATAGATCGTCCATATCAGGGGACTATCTTTTAAAATAACATTGCAGGCGTGTATACCAACGTGGATTTATTCCATTTTATCACTTTGCTTACGAAACTATAACGAGATGAGCGTGATGTCGTCTGATGTCTTTACTCCTCGGCGATCGGAAACAGAATGTGTGCCAAAATGGCGGCAACTTGGTTTTTATTAACGAACTGTCAAAGTCAGTGTCACCATTCTAATAAAATTAAAAGTATCGATGATCACGCTCTCTTTACAATCGAGTAATTAAGTAATCGAGTAACTAACAATTAAAATAAAAGAAACTAAATCAAACGATCTTCGTAATGATGATGCGACATATACAATACTTATTTTAGACTTAAATTCATATATTTAGTAAATTTTGCAACTTCTGGTAACCAAAACTCAATCAGTAACACGATTACATACCAGCCATAACTGCCGTTCGAGCTTTAACATCCTACAAATATGATAAAATGTGTCCAGCTTCTTGTTCCAATAAACATCACTGAAAAACTTTATAAATAAAATAATATAAGCTTCACTCTGATTAATTCTCTTCATTTTTAACACTTTTCGACGGAGTTTAGAAGAAGTAGCTTCAGTTTAATCAAAACAAATCAAAAATGCAGAAAATCGAGCTAAAAAATCAAGTTGTTGACAGTCGATGTACTTTGATTCAGTGTTGTCATACTTGTGTCTAATGTTAGTTCCTCAAACATTCTTTTCATGACTTTATAGACAGACTGTACACGTTGGTCTCCGTCGATCGATATCGTTTTTTCAATCGATAAGAATCGGTATTCCGTTTCAAATACAACATGTATTCGATGCAAGTGAAATTATGTCTTCCATCACTAAATTAAGATCGTGACGTCATGATACCTACACAAAATGTGGCACGCTCGGTCTTCATATAAATCGACGAACATTTTCCTTCTAACTAGATTTATTTCTGTGGTTCGAACGCATGTATAATGGCGCGAAGAAATTCAACACAGATCCAACGTTGATGAGTGCTCGGGCAGAACTGAGCTCAGACGGCCGGTGCGTCGCATTTTGTAATAATTTTGCATTTACACTTGTAGGGACACATATGCCTACATGTACATGTACAGTTTAGTTCGTAAGATGTTTATAAACAATTTGTTAGCGTCTGTAGAACAAAGACTTTTTAACTAGTCGCTAATATACGGAGTTACAGAGTGAACGTGTTTTCTTATTTAACCTTCTGATAACATAAATAGGGTCCGACACTTAATACCCTAAAACACTTATCATTTTTATTGAAATAAGATAATAAATTCATGCTTCAACATTATAAAATATTAATGAGGAAGTATGTATTAAAAAAAAACATTAGTTACCGAAATCAAACTAGATATCGCTACGGTACGCATTTGATTTCTCCATGACAACCCTTCTGGTTTTCTTTTATGTTTAAAATAGTAAATATTTGTAATTTTTCGTATTTTTATTGATATCTAAATACCGAACTTTTCAAATTTCATTTTTTTAAATATGTTAGTTAAAAGAAACGGAAATAACTGTCTTTGGACCATTTGTTTCCTGCAAAAATCAACTTTTGCTAGAGTCGCCATCTAGTGGAGGTGCGATTTAGTGCTTTCGTTTTTTTTAAATACTTTCTCATTAATTGCGTAAGTTGAATTGTATGCGTATAAATTGCTACTTTAAGTACATAATGACTTTTGTTTATTCCTAAATAAACAATGTATGTTTGTTATGAGATGATAGTGTGTATATGAAAACATTCTAAATATTATTGAACTGCATTAGTTTTAAGAGTGTGTAAATAAAATAACGAGAAACGGTAATACTATTGTGTGGGAGTATTTCAATAGAAATGTGGAGGACAGAATCGCCGAGTGTAATACAGGGAGGAACAAAATGACCGACACATCCGAAAGTTTTAAGTTAGGTTACATGCAAACGTTCATTTTATTTGACAAATATTTAAAAATAGAGGAGGTGTAAAAATTTTAAATTTCTAAGTGTTGACAGCCCTTTAACACGCATGCGCCATATCGATTGTGAGCAGATTACAACGGGCCGCGAAATACATTAATTTAATTTAATTATTTACCGATATCTTAATGATAGTCGATGCTGAAAATGTTCAATTCTTCTCTGAAGACAGCTAAGCACGCTCTTTTGCATGCCAGTGTATGCACGCGCAAAACACATCACATTTCACACAAAACTAAACACAATCTTCACTAATTAACATTATTTTTATTCGTCTTTTGATATTACGCATTTTTTAATGTTCTTTTTAAATGCTATTTTAATAACAAATTCCTCAATGTTTTTAAAACAAAGTTCATTTGTGTTAATAAAGTTGAAGCGATGAATCGCTGGAAGATTTGTGAGTTTATCGAGTTTAATTAACGATCCCGTTGTTAAAGGACTATTACCCATATCAAACAATTTTTTTGGAGAACTGCTCTTTTAAAATAACGTAGATTAATGTTAGACTGATCTCTCTACAATAATTTAGGAAATATTACACTCAGTTTCTTAATTGAGAATTTAAAGTTAAACGTCTCAAACTAACATCACTTAGTTTTCGTTTTCGATTTTAGTTTTTTGATGATCAGTTGATAGCAGTTTGAAAAAAAAAACTTAGGTTATTGAGAATAAGCAGTAGAAATTTTCTACTTTCAAATCAGAAACCGGTTGTTTGTCTGTAAATCGATTTAAGCATTTTGACTGCCTTGTTTATTGATTGTCTGGTAGAATTTGCATGAAAGCAGTCTTATAAATTACAAACTAGTTAATTTCGTTTTTAGAAATGAAGAAGTCAATGACCGATTAAAAATTTTTCCTTAGTACGTCCCAAAAACAGCTGACTCAGGATTGAAAACACTCATTTTTTTTCAAAAACTTTGTATTTTAATATCTCCGAAACAATTTGACCTAGACTTATAATTTTTTTTTAGATCATATTAAAGACAAATAGTACTCTCTAGGAACTTCGGGAGTGTCGGTCGTTCTGTTCCACCGAGTATATGTAAAAAAATCTTTCTTACAAATTTCTATTACTAATTCAAAAAAACATTTGAAATTTAAACATGTAAGTGTATATAATGAGTTCCTATTGTTTATTGATTGAAATAAAGTACAAAAAATTTGATGTTATCAATATTTTGTTTACTTACAACATTTTCGTTTTATATGGTTCTGTAGCGCGTCAGCTTTGAAAAAATATTTATTATTTTATGTAACTACTAGCTTTCCGCCAGCGACTTGGCCCGCGTGGTCGTGTATTATACATAAAAACCTTCCTTTTTAATCACCCTATCTATGTGAAAAACCGCATCAAAATTCGTTGAGTAGTTTTAAAGATTTAAGCATACATAGGCATAAAGGGACAGAGAAAGCGACTTTGTTTTATACTATGTAGTGACAACACAACGTTGCACGCTAATTATAACAATTTCCAAACATCAGTTAAAAAAAGCGTTTAAACAATAAGCACCGTATCGTACAACGTAACAACGCTTAAAAATTTTAAGCAGTTATCTCCACCTCTAAGTACAGTGAACATTAAGCCACCGACTTAATGTCAAAAACACATGCTATTTGACAACTGCAACATCTAAAATGCTGCTGTGTGTACCAAAAAAATAATATTTTGTTTGTTGTTATTATAATTTATTTTTCAAGCAGTTTTTGTCTGAAATCCTAAAGGATCTTTAATTGATTAATTTATTCAGTGGTAAATAGGGTCTGGATTTAAATATTATTGATACACTGTCAGTAACTTGCAAGCAATGGCATTAATGAAATCAAAAGAAATACCCAAAGATGCTGTTAGACTTGATGAAGAGGAAGCTATTAAATATGCCTGGGAATTTGTAGGAGAGTGGAAACCGGTTTCAGATATGTAAGTCTTGTAATTTTTTCACTGATAACCTCAAATCTTTAAGCATACTTCATCCGGTGATCATTTGTAAGTGACCTACTAATTATTTATTTGTTATTAATGGAAAACACCCAAAATGCGTATTTAACTCTTAATTGAATGCAATTAAGAGAATTTGTAGACTTTTAGAGTAATATATTGTGTACCTTAACAACTTCACCAGTGAGGTGAAAGCATTTTTAAAATTGGTTCAGAAGTTTTAGAGCATTATCATAAAAACAACCAAATCTTTCCACTTTATAATATTATGTAGCAACAAGATTATATTCTGAAAGAAGAGGATTAAGACATCACTTGTCAACTTAAATATTGTACATGCAATACTTAAACCACTTTGTAATTGTGAGGAGATGAACATTTTGTTTCATAATTATGTAATTTTGTAACTTTTTATGATATAAATAAATTTTAGAATTGCTTTTTAACCAAAATCTTATATCATGTTTACAGATGGGCATTGCTGTATGGGCCAGGTGTCCTAGGTGGTGTAAATGCAATATCTGGTGTTTTCATCAACAATCACTTTAGAAACAAACTTAAGCTTGGACAATATGGTTTTTTTTCATCAGTTATCCCTGTATCTGTAATACCTGGAATTTTAACACCTTTGTTTCATAGATATGTCAGTTATTTACATTTAAATATTTTTATTTAAAAATTTAATTGATACATGGCAAGAAATGTATCAATTAAATTTTAATTCTTGTTTCAGTTCGTATCTACAAATATGCTTCTCATGAAAAATGAAACATGTCCACTTTGTTATGAGATCCGTTCTACAGCAATACAGCTTTCATTGGGAATTGCATATCCTATGATTTTGGCACCAACAGCTTCTATGATGGTATTTAATCTATCTTATACATACTTGTTGTTTTGAGCTATTCATATATACTTATATTTGAAATAACTAACACATTATAAAAGACTAATATTTATGAGATAATCACTGTGTAACATATTTCTAAGTTAATATAAAACATACTAATTATAAATTTATTGCAGTTGACTCACAGATATGCAACCTCCAGGATACCAGATCTATATGAAGGACCCAAGGTTATATTCAATTTTATAAGAAAACTAGCAAGACCTTTCAACGGTACCTTGGCATTTCTTGCAGGCGCCCAAGCTATCACTTCAGCTGTAATCACATATTTAGAAATGAAAAGCACTCTAACACTGAAAAGGAAGGTTACGGAAATAGAAAAGAAATTAGAAATGGAGGAAAGCTTTGGGTAGTTATGTTATGTGCAAGCCAATCATAGTTTGAAATTGTAAATAGATGTATTTAAATTATCACTAAAATCTTTTAATTGTGAAGTGTTTATGACACTGTCACCTATGATTTTGTTGTCTCATATGAAATAGGGAACAATCTATTGAATTTAACTTAAGTTTTATGTATTACTTACATAGCATTTGAATTCACTGCAAAGTTAATATTAAAAACAGGAATGTGCAAATAATAACCAGGGGTATTAAAGTATTTTTTAAGTAAAAATAATGTAAAAAAAAAACTCTATGTTTTAAGTAACCTATAATATTAGTTAATTAATTATTATAATTATCAATTACAAAAAACGGACAACAAACTATGCACAAAATCTTTATCTGAAAAGTACACTTGCTAAATTTGAACACATGCAAAACTTCCTCTATTGCACCTGTACATACTCCAAGCCATTAAAAAAAGTTAATACTATAACTTGACTACAAAGCCTATTTATCCAGTATCACAATATTCTTTATTACTTATATTTGAAAATATCAGTACAATTATTTTAATTGAGAAGGTGATGTACGTACAATCAACCGCAAGTCAGGCTATACATGATTTTAAACCTTAATGTTTAAGAGTAAAATTTAAAACCAATTGTAGAAATTTCACATCGTGACGTGCAGTTGTGTACAAGAGAAATTCTTCCTTTATTTTAGATTATGTTCAAAATTATAATACCTTGCCTTGTAACATAAAACCTATATTGCAATTATAATGCAATACTTATACAGTCTTATGTATCAGTGAAGTTCTATAAAATAATATAAAAGTTGTACTGGCTAAATTAATCAATGAGCAACCAACCAAAATGAGCCAAGAAATCGCCCGCACCACTCGGACCTCATCATATCAAACAATTCCAATTACCCACTAACTTCACTGAACTCTAAAGATGTGCATCCGTTTGCCCGTACACTATGTTACCTCATTTTAGGGGTTACGTATCCAATGGGTTTTACGCACCTTTTATACTCGTACACAAACTTCGCTATCCGTCCATCTGTGTGTCTGTCCATCCATATATCACTAGGCTATGTCATAAACCGTAATAAACAGTTAAAATTTTCACAGATACCTAACTATATACTACAAAACATAATAAAATACATAAATGTTTAAGGGGGCTAAACATGATAGTTTTACTTTATTTATAAGTGAAGTGACGCGGCCCGCTATTATTGTTAAGTATCTTTCACATGACCGATCTTTCGTCATGGGATGGGTGACAAAAAATATATATTATCTCGAGCTACTCCGTGCTCCGGAAGGCACGTTAAGCCGTTGGTCCCGGCTGCATTTGCACTTGTGAATACCCTCCAATCCGTATTGGGCCAACGTGCTTAACATCACTTGCCCAGTTTATATTAAGCCGAATACTCATTAAAGAGCAGTAACTGTAACCGAAGAAATCTGTGAACCAGATTGCTAAAGTGACCAGGTACTGAAACAGTTTCAACTTGGAACCATACTAAAGTGACCAGGTACTAGTGTACGTATGAAACAGTTTCAACTTGGAACCACATTTTTGTGTTTTGCTGGCTCGCACGAGTGTGACAGAGACATGTCAGTTTCATACATTAATACGAAAGGGTGAATTTTATCGCAACACGTCACCATACACGAATGTTTCCACCTTTAGTTGCGGTCTCCACCGACCGTATACTGGAGTCGCCAGTCCCGAATTTCAGATACTATTTGAAATTGGAAAAACTACGGCTAATGAGGACGTAGTAATACAATAGTTCGAAAATGCAAATAAATTTAAAAAAAATACTAAAATTGATCGAAGAACTTGTATTGTTGAAACATTTTGTTTCAATTAAGATGATAAACAATAGGTACTTTAGTATTATTTTTATTTTCTTTCAAAGTAAGTATGAGACTGTTGGCGACCCTTATGCAGGGGTCGGCAACCTTTTGGACCAGAGGTAAAAAAAATTTGTTTAAATATTTTAATTTCTATTTAAGATTTTATCAGAACTCAACTATGGATCGATATACAATTTAAAGGATTCAGGATCAGGATCAGTAAAAGATATTTGTAAATAGAACTCGAGAGCACCGCAAGTTTACATTGAAAGAGCCGCATGTATGTGGCATGCGAGCCAGTTGCCGATCCCTACTCTAGTGGATACTATAGGGTTTTGGTTGTTACCAAACTCTTACAATGTGTACAGTACAGTCAACGGCACTTTAGGTTATACCAGTATCAAATTTCCCCACTCGATTTTAAACCTAAATACATTGCGGGTAGATGTAAAAATCCATCGCGGATATTTGACACATTGTGGTAAGCTGACGAGCAGCCGTGTGTACAAGCAACGGTTACAGTTACAGTTTTGTTACATACTCAGCTTTAATAGCTATACATATTAATTTTTTTTTATATCATTATATTTGTTTAGATTTAGCATTTATTATTGTTTATCTGAAGTTGGCAAACTTGATGTGCAACTCAAGCAGCAGTTGGCTTATGAAATACGTATCTATTACGTATAAGTGACTCTCTTTAGTTTAGTAACATAGTTACATTTAATATACATGGGACCATGTATAATAATCTTTATAGAACATTATCTACTAGTATAGATATTTTTGATAAAAATTGACATTGCGATTTCGAATTTAGGCGGGAAGTGAATTACTTATAGCTAACAATATTATGACGAAGTAGAATTCAGCGATATTAAGGGATGTTTTTTTTAATAGATTATTCATTATTAGAATATCACACCAGTCAATTTAGAATTATTGCTTTGAAAACATACTAGATGAAATAAGACAAATTCGCGCAATGGCGGCGTCATATCGGCCAATAGACAATTTAGTTATGAAGTGCGCCTCTTCAGGTGTTATATAACATTTTTAATAATGTAGATGAGTACTTAACCAGTAAGTGTCATCAAAACGTTTAGGTGGGCTGCTGGGAACAGGCACTGAAGCTTCAACAAAGGCACCAATATAATCTTCAATATAATCAAAACAAACTATTATGAGTTCAATCTGTGATTTTGGATCATAATATGTTCAATGAAGATTAAAAGACCGGTGGCCACAATTAGAGGATCAAAGTGACTGGCAATTTAATACCACATTCCTTAAAAACGGCTTTTGCAGCTATATAAATAGCTCAGACTACACGTGCTACATGCAAGTAGCGACACCTTTTCTTATAGCATCAATAAGACCAAATTCGCGATTTGAACATCTAAGGCAGTAGTTCGTAACCTTTTTAACTGGCGATTTAAAATATAAATTTAACAACTCACTAATTTAAATATCAGTGTCAATAAAATAAGAAGATTCAATTTACAGGATAACAATTTAAAAGTTGAGATCCTAAAATAACTATCCTAATAATGTTTGTCATTAATTTAAATCACTAATATTTCTGATGTTTCCGATTTGGGCCACATTTGTGTAGACCAAACCAAATAAATAGCATACAAATTCCCGATTTCATGGCAAACGTCATTTATACTACGACTATAAATAACGTTTCTACTATCGATATACTTTAATTTTTGGAAGGAACAATAACAAAATCATGGCGGAAGATGACATTTGGCAAATGACAGTGTCAATGCGTCGTTTTTACCGTATGGGTCGCCATCTTTAGTCTTATATTAAGTACAAAAAACTTCCTTGTTTTATTTTATAACCACTAAACTGGCATTATAATTATATAATTAATTTTGCCTTCATTTAAATTTTCTGGATGGTGTACATAGACCTGGTCCATTTTGGGGAATCTGCTATGGACAGTTGTAGGTATATTTTGTAATATCAAACATATCTGAAAAGGTTTTACCAGTAGGCATGCGAAATGTCTCCTTTAAGACTGTTACTGGATAAATGCTTTGTTAGTCATGTATTTTCAACAGTTTTATTTCCAATTATTCTTCACAACTGACAAATCGTTGGCAAATATCTCATCATTGTGCAACTGTTGCTCCCTTAACACTAAATAATTCACTAAGTAACAAAATAACCTTTAAACCTTACGTACCATTGTACTTTCGGGGACATAAGATAATATTCGATATTAAGTTTGGGCAAAGTTACTTGTTAAGCTATACAATTATTATTAAGTTGATAGAGGAAGCTATTTTTCTTAAAAAAAAGTGCCGTTAACGCCAGCCTTATAACAACAACCATATATTAAAAAATTATTAAAGTAATAAAGACACAATTGCATTTCACAATAACAAATGGGCCCTAAAATAATTTTTTTGTTTGATTTACTCGACTTTATATATTTTTTTTAGACTTTTTACTTTCTTGACATATGAATAAAAGTAATATTTTACATTTTTATCTCCTTAACAGTAATGAAAATGGGAATTGCACCTATAGCTTTTTTTTTCAATATTGATTTAAGTAATGTCAGTTCCTCGATAAATCATCATCTTTTAGAGATCTTTTCATTATTTTTAGTTAAATATCAAACGAAACAATCATGAGCTCCTATTTATAAACACGTACTTTAACTTTTAATAGCGTAATGGACGCATCGGTCGAGCGTGACCATTGCCTTCTCCGAAATTCCATTGTCACACTTAAACATATCGTCTTGACATTGTACAAAGTCCCCATCTCCAGAATTATAAACAAATACAAACTTTAAAGTTATATATGTAGGGCTCCATTTTAGCCACGGTCGGAATGAAGAAAATACAGCGTATGATTATGATAGTGAAACATTTGTATCAATTATTTTTCTTACATAAAAATATGATTTCTACTCTAGTGTCCCTAATCTTTCTCTTTTGATTCACAAAACATAAAAAAACGAACTTCTACGAAACATTCTTCATAATCATAATAAACCTGCATTATTTCAACCATTACAACCGTAGATATAACAGTCGCGTCTCATATAGTCCGAATCGAGAATTTTTTTCGAAGGTGTTAACTAGTTCCGCGAACGGTCAAACTTGAATCTATCGAAAATCACTATTTATTTTTCTTCTAAATTTAAACATACGGTATCAATATGAATCGCTTTCTAATATTATCATAAGCACGGCATTCATCCAAGGATGGCACCATTCTCTGGGAGGAATGTGTTTTTCATTCAGGCAGTGTTCAGATCTATTAAAGGATTTCTAAAAAGGTTGACCTTCCGCTCGCCGAGCGCACACCTCGAGCATAATTCTGCGTCTGTCTAATCTGTCTATATACATAAGGTCGTCCGTCACACGTACGCTTAGAAGCTAGGTTACCACTAACACGATCGTACGGATAAGGTATACGGTGATATACAAGTCTTAGATTGTGGTGGAGCGAGGGGGGGGCCGCGTGCTAGCAGCGCGCGCTCAGGTACTCGCCGTAGGACGCGCTCACTACCTCGGATTGGTAACGGGTCAACTTGATGCTGCGTCTCAACTCCATCGTGATCGCAGCTTTATAACCGCCCTTGCGTAAGAGCGAGTCGATCGTTTGGATTTGGTCCCATCCTGGAGGCAACATACCGTTTTATATGTAGTGCAATAGTTCTAATCTCGACTTTAAGCTCATTCTCCGTAATCAGCAAGTTGATTACGGTGAATGAGCTTAAAGTCGAGGGCACATTAATCTTTTTACTTGTTGTAGGAGCCTAACATCTACGGTAATTATAATAACAACAATACAGAGTCCAACTTATAATACTATAGCCATAAGTTTAATGAGACAAATTTTCAAGAGATTAGTATGTATACTAATATGATTGTTATCAAAATAACTTACTTGTAACTGTTATAAATTTCAACGCAGGATATCAAATAAGTCTTATTTAAGTCGGTCATGACTTCAAAATATTGGCATGTCATTCAGTACTTCAAATATCACAGTTTTGGTGTACCTCTGATAAAAAAATGTATTAAAATTAAGTACACCTTCAATAGAAACGCAGATTGAATCTAATGATTATTGATATGTATATCTGTTAATTTTGAAATAAATAAATCAATATTAGTCCACATTAATATATACATTGCTCAGTTGCCACACTAAATAGCTGAAGCCTAGTGATATGAAAATCTGATACAACCATTATCATCTTAGCCATTCGGCCACAGAGGCGTTTATATTACCATGGGGTTAGCTAACATGAGTAACCTCAAAACTGTATGTCCGTCGGGTAGGTTATTAAGTAATATTAAATAGGATTTATTTAATTTTGCATAATCAATAAATTACAGCATGACTTCACACCTTTGTACATAGTTGTGACGTAGCAAGGACGCACTCCTTAACTTGATCACCAACTAAACCATTTATTGCTAAATTGAAGTAAATAAAAAAATATCTATCTTATATTTTTCTATTATCTGACCGACAGACTATTTCTTTTTTACCCATGCATCAAATCTATAATAGGGATGATGACTCAATTGTTAGTTTTTTTTGTTTAATGCCTCCAGACTGATTGTTCCCCCTCTGTAGATATGCTTTTAATTTGTGTCTTTAAGACGACAGAAGTAATTGCTTGAGAAAATGTCCTAATTTAAGTAAATATTTTTAACCAATATATGACAATCTGAACGAAGTAAGAACTGCTTATAGTTAATAATAATATTATTCTAACTATTAAAATATCTTACTTCACACAAATTCTTGTTTACTTGGTAAAAATATTTGCTCTAGTTATGATATTTACAGGCAGTTGCACAAACGTCCATTAAGTTTTAATGACTTCCTTAAGCTCTAATGAATGTCAAATTTGTATGGGTAATGTCGCTTTAAACTAATGAAAATTTTAATGTATGTTTGTGCAACTGGTTAATTCTCGAGTAATTACTTCTGTTGACTATAGACACAAATTTTAGACCCCAGTATATATTACCTTGCTCAGTAGCAACATGAGGTAAGTAGGTTGCTGTGCGCTTAGTGCCACGTTCACTGATGAACTCAATGCGGATGCCGTGCTTGCCCAGCTTCCAGTCTAGGTAGTGCTCCGCCTCTTCAAAGTGCTGCAGTATCGACACAGACACCGTCAGCCGCGGCACCTCTTCGCGTGTTATGGGTGAAAACCGCGAGTCTTTCAGAGCACTGGTTATTGCATACTCTCTAAGACCTACAAACATAGAATAGTATGTTTTTTTAAGCTTTCATGGTTGTTTACATTAGAATGGTAGGTTTTTTTATTGCTACCTCTATCCATACTATGAGTATCATTCTATCATAGAATAACTTATAAAATCAATACCTTTTTACAGAAGGTATATTAAAATTGATGTCATTACACTTTTAAGTTTTATTTTTACCAAAGAGACTGTGTAGAATGTTATTGTTACACTGTTACCGTCTTATTATATAACAAGGCGTAACTCATCTCAATTCATCATCTTGTCTTTTGATTATTGATGGACAATGGTTTAGACTTGGTACTAAAGTTATTCCTCGTTTTTATATTAAGACAGATGTTATTTCAAAATAGACGAACTCTTAGAATGAATACCTGAATGCAAATGCATTGCATTGAATGTACCAATGCAACCTCGCAATCGATCCTCCTTCCCAATTTTCCAGGTTACAAATAAAGGGCTGTAATATAACACACACTTCTGTAACTTTGAAATAGCAAATAACCTACTTTAGTCTTATGCAATGAGTTATCTTTACTAATACTATCAAAGGTCAAGTTTTAGGTGATTTTTTTTTACTTCCTATAAGAAACTACATCACACATTGAGTGGTATAGGCAATAAATTTAATATAAGAATAATATTAGATTAATGATATGTGAGCTGTATGATGTTTGTATATTTTTATAGTGTCCAAAAGGACATATATTAATAATAGAAAAGATGCAAACAATTCTGTCGAACACCTCTCATTAAATTAAAAAAAAAATTGGGTTTGCTTTAACATTATTGTGTAGCCCCATTGTAATCAAATAAACATAATAATACTCCCATACACTGTTAACATAGCAAGTTTACTTTGTTAACTTAGTTAGGCTCCAAACTGAATTGCTACAATGGTACCAATTTTGTTTGCACTATGAATCAAATTAAAATGTTGAGTGCCATTATTGATAAGTTATTTTCTCATCTTCAAATAGAAGGCTTATACATTATTATTATAGCCTAGTTATAGTGTCTAAACAAATCTTAGTTCATTTGATTATGTAGTAATAAGTTAAATAGCTGTGGTATTAAACAAATAAGTGTCTGTTAATTGTTCAGAAATAATTAAGATTAAGTCTAACTAACTTCATGAAACACTTTTTTATCAAAGTGTGAGCAATTATTTCATTAATAAATTATCACATATTTATGAAAGATATGTATATTTAAATATAAATATATCTATTATATACCTATATCTATCATACATAAATATATGTATATATTATGCTATATGTAGACTAATTTCAAGAGTGAAGGGAATGCTACAAAATGTTGAAATGACGCGAATATTAATGAATTAATGAGACAATAAATTATTATTATATTTGGTCACTTAACTATCTCAAAATCTAATAAAAAGGATCCCCTAATTTTATGAGAAAATTTCAAAAGATGGGTGCAAATTATGATGCTTAATTATAGGAACAAAGGTGACCTTATTTTGGAATAGGAACAAAAGAACTGTAAAGTAGCATCACAATGCACTTTAATAATTATGGCATAAATAATTACAATTATTGCAGGAGTAATTAACTTATGCTTACAATGCCTCGTTAGTGAAATTTGGCGTTTGTGGAGGATCCATACTGTGTAGCTGACAATACAAAACATCGAAACAAAAGTAACACATATCAGGAATAGCTACAGTCTCTTGGTAACCATTCAAAGGTCGTTCTATACTATTACTGTATGAGTTATTAAGCTTCTGTTTTTTAGTTCCACAACAAACTGACGACATATTGAACAATATTAGATCAAAATCTAATATGAAACAAAGCCAAAATCACGAAAGTAAACGAACTCAAACAAACTCTTCTATACGTTTTGTAAATTATATGGATTTTTTTTTTAATTTCTTGACATATCCAACTAGTCTTTTTCTATAAATTGTCTCTGGTTGGAGAACAGGAGTTGCCAGGCACGCTCCAATATAACCACCTATAGATGATTCTACTCTTTGGGTATAATTTCCCACACTTCTCACTCGAAATTCCTCTTTTCTCCCAGTTATTAATAACAATTTAGAGTATTTATAACTATAGTGTACATGATAATAAATAATGTACACTGATTTAAATGTGCGGAAGTATTTGGAACGTAACTTTTATGACGTATGTGAGGGAAAGAGGCATAAATAAATGATCTCCGTGATGAACGTGTCTATAGTATAATATTTGGCTAAATACTAATAAATTAATCAATCACCCCCACACAGGTATTTTTTTTACCAAGTTTGCCATATATATTTAATAGTTCTTAGACCAACAATGACCAAAGCTCGGCTAGAAATACGCATCTCCTTACTTGTCTGTGGGTAAGTAAGAAAAACAAAAGGATTCGCGCGGGAACCTTGAATACGTTTAGGCGCCTTTTCTTATTTGCGAATTTTTATTTTGTATATTTTTGTAATATAGTGTGTAAATACTAGCCTGTTTATACAAATAGAGAGTTGTACATATTATAAATATGGGGAAGGCGAAAAAACGTCGTAAACCGGAAAATCCTCCTGATGATAAAAACGTTTCATCGTCTTCATTGTCGTCTTCGTCCGATACAGAAGATGATGATATTATAGGAAAAAAATATGATATCTTCAAAGTCCCCGGATATAGCCGGAAATATTTGGAAGATTCAAAAAAATCTGAATTTATTGTTTTCTTGTCCCGAAAAGATGGACTTAACTTCAATGATAAAGACCGACTTGCATTATCTAATGCTCTAAGGAAAAATTGCGTCTCGGGTGTCCTACACCTAAAAGCAATAAATAAATTCAAAATTGGTATCACATTTGATGTATCCAACAACGCAAATGTTTTTTTTACAAAATAAAAAATTACTAGACGAACTAAACTTTAACGCTGCAATTCCAGCAGCCGATACAGAAGTTACAGGGGTGTTAAGATCTGTTCCTACTGACTTATCTAATAAAAAAATTTTTTCGTTAATAGGCAGCTCCCGAAATGTCATTCAAGTGAGGCGATTTATGCGACGTGTACGAGGTGATGATGGCTCGGTGCGGTTTCTTCCTACGCAGACCGTAGCTGTTACATTTGCCTCCACTCAACTTCCAGAATTTGTATACTTAGATTCTTGGCGTCACGAGGTCAGTCAGTTCATTCCTCCTGTTAAGCAGTGTCTACGCTGCTTGAAATATGGACATATAGCCAAATTTTGTAAGAATGCCGAAATCTGTTCTATATGCACTGGTAACCACAACTACAAAGCTTGCAACGTTAAATCTGATAACGCTAAGTGTGTCAATTGTAGTGGGAATCATATCGCCATTTCAAATAATTGCCCCATTAAAAAACAAAAAATCGAAGAAAATAAAATCAAGGCTCACTCTGTAAAATATTCAGATGTTTTAAGGGAGCAAGCATTTCCACAATTACACGCAAAAAACATAGATACCCAACTTCAAAACTTAGTGAAATCAGACAAATTTATGAATATGATAACTGAAATTGTCACAAATATTATTATTACTAATAAGGACCAAAATGTGCCTATTAACTCCAGTTTTATTCGAGATGTATTTAATAAAACTTTAAGCAAAAAAGCTACCTTAACTCAATAATGGTTAATACCTTAAATATAGTTCATTGGAATGCCCAGAGCCTAGGTTGCAATAGGCTTGCCCTATCACAATTTTTATTTGAACAAAATATTCATGTAGCTTTAATATCAGAAACATGGCTAAGGCCAGAACAATCATTTAATATGAAATACTACAACATTGAACGTAATGATTCTGGTAACAAACATAATGGTGTTGCTATTCTTATCCATAAAAGCTTAACATATAACAAAATAACTACATATTATGACAATTCTTTACAAAATATATGCATACGTTTAACTGTAAATAATAGAGAACTTAGTTTAGTAAGCTTTTATTCTCCACTCCAATGTACTCCTAGGTTCGATAAAAATAAGTTTGAAACTTTAATTAAATCTATTCCACAGCCTATGATTTTTGGTGGCGATTTTAACGCTCACCATACTTCATGGGGATGTGGTTCGGACTCGATTCGTGGCAGAGAGGTCTTAGAAGTGATTGACAATAACAATCTTGTTTTGTTGAATGATGGTCAGGTTACAACAGTTGGTTCTATGTCTTGGCGTCCGAATGCTCTGGATCTATCTATAGTTTCTCCGTCGTTAGCTCTTTCATGTGATTGGTCTGTACACGATGATCCTCTTGGCAGTTATCATCTCCCTGTAATTATCAAAGTTCTTGTTAGAAAAAAAGGCAACAAAAGTTCTGATTCACATAATAATAGTATACATTTGCCCATCCACCCTAATTTTAAGATGGTTGATTGGAAAATGTATACCCAAAATGTAGAGTCCCTTTTAACAGACTGCAAATTAGAGAATTATACACCAATTGAAGCTTACTCTGCATTTTGTAAAATAATTAATTTAGCTATAGTAAGGTCGCTTCCACTTAGCAATTCTGCATCTATCAAAAATAGTAACAATACTAGGAAATCACGAGCTTTGCCCTGGTGGAACAAAAAATGTTTAGAAGCAGTTCAGAAATCCAAATTGTCGTATGTTAATTTTAAAAATAATCCTTCTGCTGAAACATATATAGAGTTCAAAAGATTACAAGCTTTAAAAAAACTTACCTTGAAAACTGAGAGAAACAATAGTTGGATTGATTTGTGTAATTCTTTTAATCGTTGTACCCCCTTGTCTCGAATTTGGAAATTAATGCGTAAATTTAACAAAACATATTCTTTCAGTAATAATAATAATGATGATTGGATTCCAGAATTTTTACAGAAATATACCCCAGATTATGTACATAATTCACCTAGTTTTCCCATAGTTGATCATTCAAATACTTCATATAACTATTTAATTAAACCCTTTTCTTTTCAAGAGTTGTTGTCTGCAATTCATTCTAGAAGGAATACAGCAACTGGTCTGGATGGCATTCCTTATTCCATGCTCAAAAAGCTCAGTGATAATAGCCTCCAAATCTTCTTATCCATTTTAAATAGTTTGTGGAGAAATAATGATATACCCGATCCATGGAAGTCTGATTGTATAGTACCCATTTTGAAACCAGATAAGCCCAAATTGAATCCAAACTCATATCGTCCAATCACTCTTACATCTTGTGTTGGAAAAATCTTTGAACAGTTGTTAAAACAACGACTTGAGTTTTTTGTGGAACAAAATCACATTCTACCTGCAAATCAATTTGGATTTAGAAGAGGAATGTCTGCTCGTGAAAGTATTTGCCAACTTCATCTTGATATTCAGAATAGTTTAGTTAATAAGAATTTCTTGGTATCTGTATTTTTCGATGTTTCTGGTGCCTTTAATAATATAAATATTCATGTGCTTTGTTCTGAATTGGCTTGTTTAGGAATTCCAAGTAAAATAATTCAATGGATTTATAAATTTTTGACAGAAAGGGAAGTGTATGTCAAATATAATAATAATTTATATGGTCCTAGACGTGCATCCATTGGAGTTTGTCAAGGAGGAATTCTGTCTCCCTTATTGTTTATTCTGTATATAAGACGTCTTAATTTAGTACTAGGTTCTCATGTTAAAAATTTACAGTTTGCTGATGATCTTGTAGTTTATGCATCTGGAAAAAAATTAACAGAAATTACCAACATTGTAAATAAATCTTTAGAAGGTCTTTATAATTATTTTTCTTATTTAAATCTTGATATCAATGCCCACAAATCAAACTTAGTTATATTTGGAAAAATTCATAGCTCAGCCTCCATTGTATATTATAACAAAATCCCTATCCCCATTTCTTGTGAAGCAAAGTTTTTAGGAATATCATTTACTTACAATGTGTCATGGAACAAATATGTTGAAATTATAAGTTCAAAGGCTAACAAAGCATTTAATGTTTTAAAATCATTATGCAGATCATCCTGGGGAGCTGATCCCAAAATATTATTAATACTTTATAAGTCTCTCATTCGCAGTCATTTTGAATATGGGTTTCTCTGTTTTTCTGGTGATAATAGACTGGTGGATAAACTAGAAAAAATCCAAAATAAAAGTATGAGAATTATAACAGGAGCATTTAAAAGCACACCTATAAATTCATTACAGGTTGAATGTGGATTACCTCCATTAAATATAAGATTTTCCTACTTGAAAGAAAAGTTTATTTTAAAACTTTACACAAAAAAAAATAATCACCTTTTTTTAAACTTGGTCAATTCACATATTTCAACAGAGAATCTTTACATTCTTCAGAATTTTTCCCAATTTTTAAATTATATTAATGGCTTGCAAATACACCAGTCAGAATTGCTACCTTGTTATCAGGGACAATTTGAGAGTAAATTCCCAGCAATAAATATTTTCATTGATCATAAATTATCTTGTAAGCAAGATGTTTATAATAAATTTTCTGAGTTTTCTGGTCATCGGTTCTTATATACAGATGGTTCAAAAACAGAATCAGCAGTCTCTTTTGCAATTTTTGATGAGCAATTGAAGTTAGGTACAGGTTACAAAATTAATTCCAACACAAGCATATTTACAGCCGAGGCTCTGGCTATTCTTGCAGGTCTAAAACATATTAAATATAAAAATAATGGATGTCATAAGTGGGTAATAGTTAGTGACAGCATGAGTGTTTTAGAAAATCTTAAAAACAATAAGTTCAATGCTAACACAAACTATCTTATATTTTCGATTAAACAACTTTGGTTAGACTTGAACATTATGGATAATATTCAAGTATCATTTGTTTGGGTTCCTTCACACATTGGTGTGGTAGGAAATGAAAAAGTTGACTTTTTGGCAAGGTTTATAACCAATTCTTCAATAATCCCTGATTCCAGCAATAGCCTTAATATAACTGTTCCAAATAATGACATAATTTTTCTTTTAAAAAATAGATCCACTAATTCGTGGAAAAAACATTGGAATTTTAAAGTCCAAATAGAAAACAAAGGTTTATGGTATGCTTCTTTTAACGTTCCTGTAAATTCTACACCTTGGTTCTGCAAAAGTAACACTTACTTTAACAGGAAATTTTATACAACTATCCTGAGGCTTCGTTTCGGTCACTGTAGTCTAAAATACCATCTTTATCGTCTAAATATAGTACAAAGTCCCTTTTGCGATCGTTGTGACACTCAAACAGAGCAGTCTTTGGACCACATATTCTTTGAATGCCCATCCTTTGGCATTCAGCGCCTTGTGCTAATGGATGAGCTGATTGAGATTTATAAAAGTCCGGAACGGGTACCGCGCTCTACTTCAAATCTGCTCGTAAATACCTCCACATTTCTACCTTTGTTTAAATTTGTAGATAGCACAATTGGGCAAATATAGGTGTACATAGCTTAGGATAATTTTTACGTGTCTTTGTTGTATTTAGTCACTTTTTTCTTCTTTTTTATCCTATTTCGATTTTTTTGAGAATGAAGTCTCGAATGCATAGGTATTATTTGGTTGATGTCAATATGAAACGGGAAGTAACTTTTGTTTGTTGATGTTCTAAGTCAAAGAATAATTCAATGGGTCTTTGAAATTTTTTGAAACGTATTTTTATTGTAATTTTGTTTTTATACTGAAGAAGTTTAATATCATTTTTATAAACTGAAGACTTAACGTCATTTTTCAATACTAAGAAATACAATTCAACCAATGACGAGGCAGTATGGTCTATGATCTTAGCCTGTTCCGGAAGGAACGAATAATTGAAAAAAAAAAAAAAAAAGAAAAACAAAAGTTAGTCTATGGTACGATGGATGTCATTGAGTTTTGTATAAAATAGAAAGAAGCTTTTTGTGTGATTAAAAATGAAGATATTTTCGTGAAATATGTACATTTTTTACAATTTTCCGATAGATATAAGTTAAATAATCATTTAGTAGTAGTTAAGGCATAATAACAATGTACAGTGTTAAGGCTAATTGAAGTTCCGACGATGGCGTCCGATGGAGAAATTTCATGTACGAATGATCCAAATTTCGCTGTTATTTACTCATTTCTGAAAGTATTTGGAAAGTTATATGGCTTGGAAATTCCAACGATAGCAAAACTTCAAGAGTGTATCGAAAATACCCAAGAAGGTAATAAGTTTTGTGATGATTTGTCATTTGTAGGATAAACAAACATCTTATTGGTTTCGTGTTGCTTTAAAGTTTTAGATCCGCTGAAAGAATTACATTTAAGATTACTGCGGCGTGCATTGAAATCGGTGCAAAGTAATCGATGGGAAAGGTGTCTAATAAAATTCTGTCATCAACAAGGCAATCATCAGGAAGCCTGGGAAATAGAACGATTTTCTTACAAGAAAGCTAGCACGCAAGTAAAACTGAAAGTATTGAAGGTAATTAGCCTTTCACTGAACATTCTTTCAAACTATAATATTGTTACATTATTCAACAGAAATAATTGTTTATTAAAGATTAAAGCTGTTTGTTTACTATGCTATATAATTCGATTTGAGATTTTCCAGTCTTTAAAAATTAACTGTCTTAATTTCAGCACCTCCTAGAATATCAGTTTACATGTCATCCAAAGTTTAAGTCGGCAGTTAACTCAATAGTTTGTAAAGAACTTCGGTTGGATCCAATTGGAAGAGACAAAAATGGTTGTGTATACTGGTATCAAGTGGATGACGATGCCAACTTGTGTTTATATAAAGAAGATCAGGATGAAGAAACATGGCAATTGGTGGCAAGGTACTTTATTATATTTATATTGTAAATCTTTACAATGTTTACATCATACTTTTATGCTGTAATGTATTTTATAACTCTCTATTGGATCTCTCCAAAAAATTGAAGCCTTCACTATATTTAAAGTTTAAATTATCTTTTTAATTATAAATGTAGTGAATGCTTCATATTTTAACAGTAATATGGTTAACAACAAATTACTTTTGACAAGGATCAAGCTTACTGAATTTACAAACTAACAGTTATGATCATCATTTTGGTTTATTATATATTTTATTTTTTATATTTGGTTTATTATATAGTATTTATTTTATTAAATTAATATATTGTATTAGGGCAAAATAATAATTTTATAAAAAAACTATGGTCTAGTCATTTACACATAATTTTTGGAAATTGCAGCTTTTAGTAATGTGGTAATAAAAAAATCTCTATTAAATAAAATGTTATAGAGTTGATTTCTAACAGCAATAACCAATTTTGAGGTCAATGTCAGAAACAGGACTAAATAAAAGTATTCCAAAAAATTGTAAAATCAAAAAATTGACTAATTATTACTAAACACATATTAGGATTTTATTGATTCAATCCCTATTAAAGAAAAAGTTCCAGTTATGTTTTAAGTATTGATATAATTTCAGTAGTTATGGATTAAATATCTAATAGAAACACAATCAAACTATTTTTATTAGTATAGTTTTTAATTATTTGAAAATATTAATACTGTAAAAATGTATCTTTACTAATATAATAATTATTTGTTTGATTGCATCAAATAGGCTCCTAGACTACTGGACTGATTTTAAAAATTCTTTCACCTATGGATAGCTACACCATACATGGTTGACATAGGCTATAATTTATGCATTCAAAGTCGCAGGAAAACCGCCAGTAAAAAATAAAAATTACAATATATCAAATCTTTATTTACGTTCTATCTATACACATCATATATAAAATTCCCAATTTAGGCAGTAAATTCAATATTTACATCAATAGTTAAATAAGTTCAATAAGTTTTTATTTTAAAATTTTCAGAAATCGTGAAGAGCTTGTTAAAGTTATAACACAGTTGAAAAAGGGTGAAGATATTTGCCCCCTGTTTTCTAATGCTGCTCATGAAGATTCTAGTAGTGCAGATGTGCCGCCACAGCTAGAGGTATTCATTTTCACACATGTATTTCAAAAGTAAAACTTGATATTGATTCTTTTAATTAAATACTTGTGTTAAATTTTTAGCCAGTAAAGCCAGAAGTAGAAGAGGAAAACGAAGAAGAGTTCCTAAGTCCAGAATCTGAATCAGAACATGAAGAACTACCTGTTTCTGATGATATTATTAAAGCAGTCTCTAAAACAAAAGAATTAGATACAATTAGCCATAAAGAAGATGTAAGCTGTTCAGATAAAAATACAAGTGACCAAAATAATAGAATATCCATCACACAGGAAATTGAAGATGAAACAAAAATGAAAAAGGATAAAGAATTGCCTGAAGTAATTGATGGGCATAGTAAAGTAAGGGATGAAGTAAGTAAAAACAATGAAGACTCAAGTGAAATAGATTTAAAATTAAGTAAAGATAATGTAGATTTAACTATATCAGATGCAATATTAAAAAAAGATGATGATATAACAAATAAAAAAGAACAGGCCACTATTAAAGAAAGTCCGAGTGATTGTAAAGAAAATCAAGAATTGTATAGTAGTAAAAATTTAAGTAAAGAAGACAGTGAATGTGATGAGAAGAATAATACGCCGACTGAAAATAAAAAAGATGTGAAAGATGAAATTGAAAAAGAAGATATAGTTAAAATCAAAGCTGTAAGTAGTTCAGTTACAGAAGAACTTGGTGAAGCTATAGAGGAACCACTTATGGTTGTTAAAGAGGAAGGAAATGGAGCAGATTGTGAGAGTTCCTACATTGGCGAAGAAATAGTTGAAGATGTTATGTTCTTTTATGGTGAAGGTAACGGATATGACAATGATACTGGAAACCCAGAAATTATTGAACAAGGTAATAGTCCAGAGAAAAATTCCGATGCAGAAAATGGTAATGATGACTTGCAGAATGGGGAACATGAACTCACAAATTCAAATAGTAAAAATAATAAATTAAGTAAAACTGTAAAGATAAAAACTAGTACACCCACTGTAACTAAACGCGCGTTAAAAAAGCAGCCTAATGACACTAATGAAGTATTAAAATCAGATTCAAAAAAACATTGTATAAGAAGTTTAAATAAATCTGATAGTTCAAATTCGAAGAATGTCAACAAAGAGTTGCAACAGGAGATATGTGTAAACGATAAAAGCAATACAGAAAGTGAGAGTCCATGGAAAAGTAGAATAAAAAAAGGCAGAACTAAAATTAAGAAAAAGAAAGTATTGTCAAATAAAACAGAATTAAATGAGAGAAAAAAAGATGTAAATAATTTAAGTGTTAATTACAATGATAGTAAAACAAGTATTATAGAAAAAAGAAAGAGTAGTGTTTCATCTGTGGAACAAGAAGACGCTGAAAATGCAGATACTGAAAAAGAGAAAAGTCCTGACAAGGATCTTAAAGTAGAAGAACCTTTGCCACCTAAAAAAATAAGATTAGAATCCACACCAGAAAGTGATATTAAGGAGTCAGCTCCCCCAGAAAAAGATCCTCTAGATGTAAATAACAGTAATGACATAAAAAATGCATCTGTTGATAACAAGGACAATATAATTGAAACTGATTCCATAGCACAAAGAAAAAAGATTAAAGCTAGTAAAGGAAAATTTAAAAGAAAAAAGTTTTTTAAAAATACTTCTGACAATGATAGTACTATTTTAAATAAAAGTGCTGATAAAGATGATTCTGTCATCAAAGAAAAGAAAGTTAGTAAATCATTGAAAAGATCATTATTAGAATCGACAATGAGCGATAAAAGCAAATCTGAGTCTCATAGTGATAGCGACGATGATGAACCTGTATCTAGCGGCAAAAGATTGAAAACTAGGCCTAAAAAAATTATAACATCATCAAGGTAACTTTGTAAACACAATGTTCATAAGATTTTACATATATGAACAAATTTGCATGTTAATAATATTAAAACATGACTTTTTATTACAGAAAAAAAGTTGAAGCTAAATTATTGGAAAAACATTCAACAGATGAATCTGAAGAGGAAACATTGTACAGTCTAGGTAAACTGAAAATATGCAAGTTTTATAGGATATGACAATGATATTGGAAACCCAGACACCATAAAATCTTATAGTCCTTTCGGAAATAGGGATGATGACCAATTTTTGTTTGTTTGTCCGTCAGGTAGAGAGTTAAAAAATATTAAACACGCATTTTTTTATTTTTTTCGTAATCATAAAATAACGGCGTTACATGGAAATGAAATTTCGTATGATGTCACGTTAGAGTACGTTTTCTACTCAACTGTGGCGTAGCGAGCCCCCACTCCTCAACTTTAATGCCTGTTATATAAGCTATTTCTTGTTAAATTGAAGTAAAAAAAAATACGTATCTAATATTTTTCTATTATCTGATTGACGGACTAAATAGAATTGCATTTTTTTTACCCAGTCATCATCCCCTTTCCAATGAAAAGAAATAGTGATGAAGAACTGCAGAATGGGGAATGTGTACATTAAATAGTTAAAACTGTAACTTGCCTAACTATTTGCTTGTCCATCCAAATGTCTAACAGTGTATTTGCTCTGTTACTAATGGACAGCATAATTATTGTCAGAAACAATTAAAATGTAAGGGTGGGGTTGCATGTAGAAAAAAGTTCTAAATAGCACACTACATGTTACAACACAGTTCAATCTAATATATGCGTACTGCCACTATGAAAATGTATATATTTTTTACAGCTGGTAAGAAAGCCTCAAAGAAAATATTTAAAAAGAAGTCCCGTGGCAAAGAACCTCCTAAAGGAAAAGCTAAGGTAGAGAAGGGTGATTCGGAAGATTCAGACGTGGCACCGGTCAGACAATCCCGGAGGATAGCACAGATGAAGATAAAGGAGGAGGCAGAGAGGCGGCATTTAGAGGAGGTCGCTTTAAGAGAACTCAAAATGATACACAAGAAAAAGGTACAGTACAATTATAAAGTTTTATATCAAAACTAAAAAAATATACAGGAGTCCCAAAACGGCAGACGTAGCTGAAAGTTTGAAATTAGGTAACAAGCAAATGTTTTTGCATCTTTATGTGAAAAAAATTAAGTATTGACAGCTGTGTAACATGCAGTTTGCAAAGAAATAAGTAGATACTTAACTGACCTCTTTCGACTAAAAATACAAGTGTTACATTTATATAATGATGATATTCATTCAGTCACTCATCTTGGAACGTCCTCCGAACGAATTTTAGCGAAAGAGTAAACAAGCGCATGGAAAATTGACGGGCTCAATGGCGCGGTGGTAGCGTTTCTACTATTGCGCCGAGAGTCGTGGGTTCGGTCCCCACCCAGGACAAACATTTTTGTGATTAACAATTATGTCTGTTCTGTGTCTGGGTGTTTTTATTTATATTATGTATATATTTGTATTCCCCCATTGTTTCCGATATCCGTAACAAAAGTGCCTAAGCTACTTACCTCGGAATCGGATCAATGTGTGTGATGTTGTCCGATAAAAAAAAATAAAAAAAAGGAATTCGTCAGTCCTGTTGGTACAATGTGGCGTTTTTTTAAGCATTTTGTCATTCGTTTAGAACAAAGATGAGGAGGAGTGGCACGCCAGCGGGGCGAGCAGCTCGGAGGGGTCGCGGTGGCGGCGGTGGGGGGCGCGCGGGGGCCGCGGGGGGCGCGGCGCGGGGGCGGAGGGCTGGCGCGCCGCCGACTCCACCGGGCCCGACCAGGACTCCGACTCCGACGAGCCGCTGTTCGAGCTGCACGAGGAGCCCGACCGTACGGACCCATGCATTTGCGATATATCATACTAGCTCTCGCCACCAGCTTCGCCCGCGGGGACCCTAGGGAAATGTTTAGTGGGATAAAAAGTATACCCTATCTGTATCTGTATACCAAATTTCATCAAAATCCATTCAGTAGTTTTGGCGTGAATGACGGACAAACATCCAAACAAAGAAACTTTCACATTTATAATATTAATAGGATATTAGGATACACATTTCAAACGTGCTGCTAAAATGAAATTTCTCTTAATAATTTTAAACAAATACATACGTAATATGAATAGAATACACAAAGAGTTTCGACATTGTTTGTTTAAGTAATCAACAAAATAAAAAATAAGCGGCATAGATTAATTAGAGGAGTGAAGTGACATCTAATGGCAAGAGAATCAACTTGATGTGTCAATGTGTCAAGTCGACTCGCTAAGTCCAGTGCATAGAGATTCGAGTGATATTTTTTTCACTCAAGTTTGAAAAACTCACTTGAGTGAGTAAAAACAGGACTCGAGTCGTATCACTAATCTTATTCTTGCCGATTGGCTACATGACTGTTTTGGGAAAAGTTTTATAAAAATTACATATTAAAACATAAGATTTATTGATTATTTCGCGTCCCTGGAAACGTCACATTTTGATAAACATGAGCACACAGTAATGAAGACGTTCAGTTTATTAAAATGTGACGTCACCCGACGTTTCGTTACAGTCGCCCGCGTTTCGTTTCTTCGGTAAATCGCAGATAGCATATCGCAAGTTAATTTAGAAAAAATAAGATATAATTAAAATTCATTTAAAAAAATACTGCATAGTTATTTTTTACAATAAGTTGTCATTTCCAACATATTTCTTAATTTCTTGTTTTAAGTGTCAAGTAGCCAATAAGGATAACAACTAATTTTTGTTTTTGTCCGTCAGGTAGATTATTGAAGAATATTAAATACATATTCTTATTTTGTGAGTAATCTATAAATTGCAGCGATACATTGAAATGTCATTTAACGTCATGTTTTTGTACATTTTCTACAAAACTGTGACATAGCGAGCTCGCACTCCTCAACTTTAATGTCTATTACAAAGACAGGCAAATTATGCAAAAAGAATACCCATGTATATTTCTCTATTATCTGACTGACGGACTAAATAGTTATTGTTTTTTACCCAGTCTTCATCCCTATTCTTTTGTACCAAATAGTTGGAATTAAGTTTTAATCCTGGCCCAAAAGAGATTTTTTACTCTTTATTCATTTGTTGTCGGATATATTTAGTATAGATATGCCTCTAAGATTACCAAATTGTTTGATTCATGTAAATTTTCACTCTTAAAAGGATGGCCACGTTTGTATATAGTTATTTCAAAGATCAATATTGTACATTGGTTTTAGAGAAGAATACTTGAAAATGTATAAAATCTATTCAAATATCGCGTTCATAGAGACAGACGCGGTGGTGGGCTTTTGTTTCATTATTATATGAAAAGAAAACAAATTAAAATAAGTTATGAATGTATAATAATACTTTGAAACTCACATGATTTGTATACATTATAATTATATGTAACCATGTCTTGTTTGTGCATTATTTTAAAACTATTTATTTACCTTAAAATAATCCACGAATAAGACCCGGTTACATATATTTATAACTTATGAATGCTTCGAAAATTAATGAAACTTATGTATAGAGAATAAAAAGTAATTTTTAACATGTCATATCCATATTTATTATTAGTTCTTACGTAATTTCCATGTCTTTATGAGAATAAAATCTTTCAACATATTTTGTTAACAGTTGACTTTAACAAATCCGATCACGAATTTTCACCGGAATCTGACTTGGAATCGGGCGAACCAGCCGAGCCGTTGAAGAGAGCACGGACATTGCAAGAAGGTGGGTATCAAATACTAATCATAGTTATTCATACTAATCATAGTAATACAAATTTTTGATTTAAAAAATTAAGGAGCTCGAAGATAGTGGTCAGAATTTTCAGTCTGCAATCAAACTACTGTCTCGAGGACCGGTCATAGGATGGGTGATCAAAAATTTATTTAAGCTGTTAGTCCTGGCTGCATCTGTTGATCTATCTAGCCATAAGCCACATGTAGTTACTCTTATACAAATAATAAACATAATTGTTTATTCTCGTCTTTTAAATTTTTCTGGCATCCTTTCAAATATTGTCTCAATCGTTTAATAAGACGTTGAGACGAAGACGAAAATCTGTTAATGTCTGTCTATGGATTTTTTATATCTATTGATTTTTTAGAAATGACATTTTTTATGTAGAAACGTTTTACATTTAGTAATGTGTTAATACTTATTTGGCGTCAGGTAAAGACGACGGTTTCTGCAAACGTTGCGGCAGCGGCGAGCAGCCGGAGTGGATACTGCTGTGTGATAGATGCGATGAAGGATATCACGCGTCCTGTCTCAAGCCGATGCTGTTTCTGGTACCCGAAGGAGACTGGTTCTGTCCTGGATGTAACCACGTCAGTATACCACTCGTCTACACATTTACACTCAGACGCTACAGGCAATAGTAACATTCGCTTCTCTTCAATACCAATCACTGTACCCTAAACGGGATACTATCATGTTTTAAAAAGATTTAAATACTTAAATTTTAAACATTATTTTGGGTACATAATAAAATACAGTGCCTGGCACGAAAGTAAATCCAATATGGCGTCCACTGCGCAGGTATAAAAAATTAAAAACGAAAAACATTTTTCTTTAACGAATAGTTAACTAAATAAAAAAAATCTTTATTGAAATAAGTAGCATACTACCCATTTAGAACATAATTTACAAATCACTACAATGTTTATTTATTAAGATGAAAATAATGGTAGTATCCATAGTTACAAATGTATGTTTATTCATGGTGATGTTGTTTAATGAAATATTAATAATAATTAGATTACCGGGACAGGAAAATAAAACCCCATCGCCCACTGATGCGGCGAGTTTAGTGAGAGGATTTGCCGTATCAATGCAATTAGTCCGCACCCAAAATGTTACTCATAGGCGAGAAGTGTTGGTCCGTGCTTCTTTTCCATCTGCCGTCATTGTGACCCATCAGGGAATTGGGCGACCCCTGATGTATCAAGCCTATTTTTGTACTATGATGAGTGGAGTAAACAGAGCGCGTATAGGGCCGCTGCCTGGGGGTCGCCAGGGCTCGCCCGGAGCTGGCGCCGGGTCGAGCAGAATGCGAGCCAGCCAACCCCGAGGGCCGGCACGACCATCTCGCCGGCCCACTCCACCATCACCACCAGCTGGCTTGGGTCCGGCAGGGTCTTCACAGACCCAGCAATCGGTCCCCGCCGCTGGTGGAGTACGCCGCATGAGGTGGACTACTCCACAAAACGAAAACATCATGCGCGCGTACTACAGGGCGACAGGGTTATCGGGCAAGATTGCTTGCTGCGTTTCGTACCCTGGAGCCTTCGCTGTCTGTTACGGCGCAAAATTTGGCAGATCGAGTTCGCTTTATTCTTCGGAGAGAAATCTTTACTCCAGCAAAACTCGGTCAACTACGACTCGAGGTTGTGTCGTCTATGAGTCCCGGTAGCAGAAGGCGGAGTAGCATTGCGCGCAGCACCATATGCGACTCCAATGCTACAGTAGCCAGTCCTGCTCCTGCTGAACGGGAAGGGTAGACGACGCAACCGCCCAGAATTTAGAGCAGATCAGGGGGTTACTTGAAGAGGCGATTCTCGAATTTCGACTTGAGGAGAGGCCGAAAATCCCGAGGATACCCCTAAGTCGTAAAAATCGGGATGTCGTTGAGGCAGTTAGCCAAATGCTTCTTCCATACTTGGAAGAAAGCGGCAGTCTCAGTGATACCAACTCGATCCTATTTGGCGCCGCATTGGCGGTCTGTCGATTCATCGGTGCTCGCTGGGAGAGCTGAACGGCATACCAATGCCCGGCACAGCGAGACTCCGGCGTGGCGTAAGAGGATAGAGAAACGTATTGCTGAGACCAGAGTCCTCATCGGCAAACTGATTAGTTTCAGGTCAGGCAATACGAGGCCGAGGGTGATGCGTTTCGTACACATGGTAATGGCGGGGATAGATTTCAGTCTTTCAGACCCCGCCTTTATGCGAAAAGTGTCGGAGCGCATCGATGACCTGAAACAGAAAATTGCGGCTTGGGGAAGACGGATACGGCAGTACTCGGAGAGAGGGGCAAGGTTTCGCCAGAATCGTCTCTTTGGGAGTGACCAAAAGAAGTTTTACCATACATGGGAGACACGAGCTGGCCCCTCCACTGGCCACGGACCGAATGTCACAGATGTCATTGCCTTTTGGCGGAACATCTGGTCCCGGCCTGTGGAGCACTTAGAGAGAAGCGTGTGCATCGATAGATGCGATGAACCCCATCACCATAGAGTCGGATGACGTGTTGGCTGCGGTCCGCAAAACTCCGAACTGGAAAACTCCAGGCATTGACGGACTGCACCACTACTGGTTGAAGAGTTTCCGCTCATGCCACGCATTCTTGGCCCGCCAATTCCAAGACGCCCTAAAACAGCGAAGTCTCCCAAACTTCTTAACAACTGGGGTCACTCACTTAGCTCCAAAATCCACCAATACCGCGGATCCGTCACAATACCGCCCCATAACGTGCTTGTGTACCACCTACAAAGCACTGACATTCATTCTGAAGACCAAGTATGATGCTCACGTTGAGCACAATCATGTCATGGTGGACATTCAGAATGGATGCAGGGGCGGGAGCCGCGGTTCAAAGGAGCTTCTCCTGATCGATGCGGTCGTGGCCCAGCAGGTTAAACGCAACCGACGCAACTTCTCTGCAACCTGGATAGACTACAAAAAAGCGTATGACTCGATCCCCCATACGTGGTTGAAGAGGGTTCTCGAACTGTACTGTTATGTCCGTGACTATATAATTAATAAAACACGCGTCTTTACTCTCGAACATATATTTAGTAACAAAGAAACAAGGTAGACAAAAGGAGCAACGTTTATGCCTGAAAAATTGTTCTACCTACTTATAAAATTGCTAATGATAAGTACCCGCTGATACTTATCTAAGATCGATAGTACAGTTCGAAACTTCCTCGAGACCTGTATGGGGCAGTGGAGTACGCAGCTTAGTCTGTTCGGGGTTCAGCTGTCGGATGCGGAAGACCGAATAAAGATTGAGAGGGGTATATTCCAGGGCGATTGTCTGAGTCCACTTTGGTTTTGACTGTCCCTAAATCCGCTTAGCACTTTGCTGGATAAACCAGGGACAGGTTTTCAGTTGAAGAGAGGATTGTTCAAAATATCTCATCTCTTCTATATGGATGATCTCAAGTTGCTTGCCCCAAATGCTCAGAGGCTGGCGGAGCTGCTGAAAATCACAAAGGATTTCAGTAGCTCCATCAGCATTGAGTTTGGGCTGGACAAGTGTGCGGTTATCCATGTGGATAGAGGTCGGATAAGTGATTCCACCCAAGTGGACCTACCGGATGGATCCACCATCCGTACCCTCTCCGAAACTGATTCATACCGGTATCTTGGTATGTCACAGAATCTAGGTGTGCATATGGCGGACGTGAAACAATCCGTTAAGGAGGCCTTTTTGGGACGCCTGACTAAGGTGCTTGAAAGCTACCTGTCAGGCGTCAACAAAGTCTGGGCCATTAACGGTTGGGTCATGCCAGTCCTAATGTACACCTTTGGCATACTCAGATGGACTCAGACCGAATTGGACGCCCTAGATTGGAAAGTCCGCACAAATTTGACACTCCATAGAATGCACCACCCGAGATCGTCAGTGATGAGGCTGTATACCTCGAGGAAGAGCGGCGGTCGTGGGCTGCTCAGTGCGAAAACCCTGCACAACCGCGAGATACACAGTCTCCGTAATTACTTCCTGGCGAAATCGGAATCTAGTGAGTTGCATAGAGATGTCAAAGCATGTGACGTAGGACTAACCCCTCTCTCTTTGGCCACCGAGCAATGGCGAGAACCAGCAGTACTTAGCACCACTGACCGAGAGGCCGTTTGGAGGGAGAAGGAGTTGCACGGTAGGTTCTACAAGGCGCTACACGAGCGTCACGTGGAGCCGTGCATTGGCTGCGCTTCGGGGACCTCTTTGGGAAAACCGAAGGTCTTGTCTGTGCAATGCAGGACCAGGTCATTATGACCCGAAACTACCGGAAGTATGTCCTGAAGGATGGGACAGAGGACGTTTGTAGAGCCTGTCACCAGCCCGGTGAGTCACTCAGGCATATTACTTCCGGTTGTCCTGTACTGGCTAATACCGAGTATTTGCACAGACATGACAAAGCAGCCAAAATACTCCATCTCGAGCTAGCCTTCAAATACGGCCTCATAGGCGAAAAGGTGCCTATGAGGTGCGAAAAGGTACTATAAGTATGTGCCGGAGCCAGTTCTTGAAAACGACCGCGCTCGATTGTACTGGTACCGGTCCGTTATTACGGACAGGACTGTTCCTGCGAACAAGCCTGATATCGTACTGATGGACCGGGCGGAATCTCGGGTGTTCTTAGTGGATGTCACCGTCCCATTTGATGAAAACCTCGTGAAAGCCAAATCAGATAAAAACCTTAAATATCTGAACTTGGCGCACGAGGTTACCGATATGTGGCGAGTGTCATCCACTGAGATCATCCCAGTTGTAGTGTCAACGAATGGCCATACTTCTCTTCACGCCCATCTGAAGAGGTTGGGACTCCGTGACGGACCAATGATTGCGAGGCTCCAGCGGGCGATCTTGCTTGATAACGCAAGGATCGTCCGCCGTTTTCTCTCTTTGTCGCCCTGACCCCCGGCCGTCTGGCTTCCTCTGCCGTGGGGAATCCTCCCACCCCTCGAATCGTTGAGGGGTCGGGAAGAGTAAATTATAAATACAGGAATAATAATAAATTTATTTCAGGTGGTACCTATAGTGTTAGTAATAATTATCTTAAAAATAATGTAAATAAATACAACTTATTCTTATCAGCTATTCCAATTAAATTTAATTTTAGTTGTTTAATTTCATATACCCAATTATTAAATATTTGTGAGATACTTTAACCGCTTCTGTAAGAGGGACAAATCTCACCGATCAACAAAAACCCCGAGAATACCACTAGTCCTAGCGCGTAAACGAATCAGTGCAGAGGCGCAACGTTTCCTCATAATGGTGTTGAAACCAATCTTAACGAGTCTCCACAAACATACCAGAAGCTCTGCATCGCCACGGCAGATCCATTAGTACTCTCAATGCATTATTATATTAGACTCGTAGATCACCGAGAGCCCGATGCGTGTAGTTAAAAAGACTTGAGAGTATGTTTTAAAAAGAGTTAGTTTAACAGATGTAGTAAAACGAACAAACCTGCGTACGAGCAATATAACAACGTTACAGTCAATGGATCTGCGCTCTATTTCTATGTCTAAGTTGTCCTCTAGGTTCTCCATTACCCAATGTCTCAAGTACTTAAAGGTCTCAACTTGCTTTAATGGTTCCCCACATAATGAGATTTCCTGTAGGTACGTTATGATAATTTATGGTACCTGATTTAAGTAACATCCACACTCTTGAGTGTGATTTGAAAATCCTAAGCCAAAAAAATTTAAAATGGCAAAATTTAGTATTTATCAATATAGTATTTATTTAATAAAATAATTAAGTATTTATCAATAAAAAAATTGCATTTACAAATGGCGGGTAGTGAATTTGTAGGGTAACGTCAAGTCTGGGATGACACTAGGCCCTTTTGCTATGGATGAATTTCTCCTCCCGCACACTTCATTAATGCGTCCATACCTATTTTCATTAATGCGCAGGGATTACTTTCGTGAAGGGCACTCTACTGTTTACACAAAAACTATAAAAACGCGATAAAACCGTTTAAAAGTTATTTGTTTATGATAGTGCTCATGAAAATTTAAGAAATCAATATATAAAAACAGTTTTTTCCAAGTTGTCCGATCTCTTATTAATACATACACAATTTTACATTATTTTACACATACACAATATTTACAAACGCAGACTTATAAATTTTTATGCACATGGATTTGTAAAAAAAGCATTATTATTTACAGAATTTATTGATAGAATCTTTAGAAAGTGAATTGATGAAATATGACGAGTTAATGGTGCGGGTAGAAGAAGAGAGAGCACGGAAGAAGGAAGAAGAGCCGGATCCGCCTACCGAAGAAGATAAACTAGAAAAAGAAAAAGAAGATGGTTCGCAATCAGGTGAATGGATATCTAATAATCTTTGGCCAAACTTGATAATTTTATATTTATATTTGATTTTGATGTGGCTTAGGTGTTTTAAAGTATTATAAATTTTAAGAAGTATTAAAGTGTTACAGTATTAAAGTATTATAAATTTTAAGAACCGTTATCAAGCATTAGGGTAGTCGAAAAAGTTGTCCACTGGTAATCTTGATAGGGATGACGACTAATTTTTGTTTGTTTGTCCGTCAGGTCGAGTGTTAAAAAATATATAAAACCCGTATTTTTTTATTTTTTTCTTAATCATAAAATTACGGCGTTACATTGAGTTGAAATTTTGCATGACGTGACGTTATGGTACGTTTTCTGCTAAACTGTGACGTAGCGAGCCCCCACTCCTCAACTATAATGCCTGTTATCTAAGTAAAAAAAATACGTATCTAATTTT